GGAGTGGGTCAGAATAAGGCTCTTTGGAAGATGGAAAATTCACAAAGGACCTGACTGGTGAGACTTACCTGCTCTCCGGAGTGCTGAAGAAGCCATCTGCCACAAAAGTGCTCAAGGTGGGGTTGAGAATGTCGCTCAGTGGTAGAGTGCTTGTCTAGCATGTATGAGGCCCTGTGTTCAATTCCCAGTACTGCAAAAAATAAAAAAGTAAAAATAAAACTGCCCAGGGTGGGGCTAGGGAAGCCCTCCAAGGGGGTCTTTAAACCCTCTCCTGCTAAGCTGAAGTGAAGAGGCAACAAACTGATGACTGTCACAAGTAAACCAAACTGTTGGAAGGAGCTTGGGCCATACAAATGTTCCTTACAGGCTGGGAGCCCTAGATTTTCCTATCAGAGAGCTCCGCTAGTTCCGCACTTCCTTCCTTCTGTACAACACCTGTTGGCTCTCCATCTTAGTCATTAGGATTACACATCAGGCCCTAGAATATATATTTATTTTTGTCTGCCACCAGGCAGCCTGAACTTTCAGACATAGTAAGGAAAATAATGAGCTATGAATACTGCAAAAAATGTGTAGTAGTTAAATAAATGCTGATATCATGGTTCTCAAGTTTCTGTAACATATGGTTCCACCATGTTGTGGTTAAAAGCATGGTCTCTCAACTACTTGCTAATTGCATAACCTTGGACGAATTACCTCACCTCTCAGTGCCTCAATTTCCTCATCTGTAATGTGGGAAAAATAGTAATATTTTCTTCGGAGGATCATTGAGAGCATGAAACGAATTGACATGAGGCTTGTAGGACACAGCCTAGAATCTAGTAAGCACTGCATGTCACATTGTATTAGTATCTGAGAATAGCAATACCCTCTCCCATGTGCACCTACACCTCATGAGTCCCCTACGATCTCTCCCATATTCCTTTCCTAGAACGTTAATCTTCCTCACACACATGGCTCCTAAGGGTCACCTGGGCACAGCACACCCACAGAATCACGCTGTGAGTCCATCACTACCACCGGTCGTGCAGGACACCCAGCTCACTCTTCT